ATATATATATATATATATATATATATATATATACTGTATACGTATATATAGCTCCAGCACTGTTTTCCCCTTCAGACACACTGGAGAGTTAGCCAAAAATCTTTTTAAGGATAAACCCCAACATGTGACAGCTCAGCTAAGGTGACAAGAAAACCCAAACAAACTCTTCCAAAGCTTACTTGACTTTTCCACACCTTTACTGAATTTCTACAATAGCCAGAAGGAAAATTGAAAATAATCATAATAAGATGTTTTTCAGAAAGCTTGCATTCATTCAGAATAACTCTCAGTGGCCTCTATTTTTCATAATAAGTCATCATAGGTAAATTCAAAATGAGAAAATTAAATGACTTTATTTCTTTCAACTAAAAAGCTTCTAAAATCTGTTAGGTTGACTTTTAAGTCTCCCAAGATCCGATTTTCTGTGTGATTTATCTTTGGTTCTGATGTGACATATTTGTTGACCTAGTAAAGTAGTTTGAAAAGAAAAAATCACATAGGTAATAGAGTGAAAAAAGGAACATAAAAGACTTTGTTTTAAATCTCACTTTGCATCTTAGACTACCCTGCAGAGCCCCACAAGGGACAGAAGTGGTGATTCAGAGAAGGCTGAATAACGAGGAGAGGCAAGGATAAGATAGATACAGACAGAGGACACATAGGCAACTGGCAGCACATTAAACGTATTGGTGTGACACTGTATTCACCCAAAAATCTATTAGGGATTTTATAGGAGATAACCCTTTTCTCGACATTTCATGCTCAGTAACAAGTAGACAGCTGTCATAAGAATTTTCATTAGTGGTTGGGCCAAGAAGGGTTAGTTTTACTGTACCTGACGTAAAGTGTGCGTTTCTGTGTGGAGCGGAGAGAGGTTGAGCTGGAGCTGACACTGCTGGTCATCATTTGTTCCCTCAGGTCATGGATTTTGGCCTCAAAACGACTGTACTCTAAATAGAGAGGAAAAAATAAATAAAAAATGGAAAACAGGTTGTTTCAGAACAAACAACAACAGAAAAAACAAAAGCACACTATTTTGTGTCATTATTAATTACCAATTAATTACCTGCTGCACAATATTGAAAGCAGCAACTTATGCACTTCAATAATTTTTGCTCAGAACACGAGAAAGATGACAAAAAAAAGCCTAAAGATAACTTCAAGTGATAATCACTTTTTCATAAATGAGTTCAGTTCAACAAGTAGTTTAAAATCCATTAGAATTGCAAGACGATTTCTGCCCATTTTCAGAGGCACAAAAGATGCCATAATATTCACTTGCACAAATACTGATTATCTGCAGATATGATCAAAGCAAGGTATATTACATGGTGATGGACTTCTAAATTTAAATTGATTCTTAAATTACATAAAATGCATGAGGGCAATTTTAAGGCCACTAGGAGAATATGAAAAAAAGAATATGAAAAAAATACTATAACACAGATATTTGGTCCAACTGAAAGGTAAGTCAGCGTATTGTGAAGGACTCAATAACTGGTCTGGGCTCCCTTTGTATGAATCACTACACTGTGTGGCGGGGAGACAATCATTCCATACTCTATGTATGCCTTTGAAACACAAACTCCTTCTGAAGTTCATAGTATGTAAATATCATCCAAATATTAAATGGAATTTGCCTTAAAAACCATTCAAAGTTGCTACTATACCTGCACAAATATTAGCCCACTCCAATGATTTTCCTGACTAAAGTCCTCTGTAAACATCTTTTTGTTTTATTAATCTGAATGTTTATAGCTTGCCATTCCTACTGAGGGTGACAGTAAGCCTCTAAAAACATACAGTATCATATATGTTTTAGAACTCCTATTTCATAGATATTATGTAAATTTATTTATGATCTATAAACCTATATTTAGGATTTTTATCATCTGTAAGTCATAGTAATGAAAATTAATGAACAGGTTGTTATGATATATTACAGAAATTAATTGCCGATACATTTTAACTGTTTGATTATATCCTACTATGCTGAGTTGCACCAGACAATCTTTAGTAAAATGTAAAGCAGTGGCTCACTAAGCATCACGTCTATTGTACAATAAAAATGGTCTATAGTTTCTAATGAGTAACTGATTTTGGTTTCCTGGCATATAATAATTTTTTTACCTAACAATTATTCCATAGTAACTTCTAAAAAGCTATGCAAAAAAACAAGTTCTAATTCTTTACCATTTTCTCATTCTGTAACTGTGATTAGCCATTGTATAATCAAACTGGGGTAACAGCTTGTACTGTAGGCATCTACAAGAGACTTTTGGGAATCAATGGCACTTCTGAGATGTGGTAAGTCTAGAACAAAGGCAATGTATGCTTCCTGCTATTTCAACATGCCCTCAACTACTTTATCCTACTGTATGGAAAAATTGGATTAAAGCTAACTAAATAAAATTTATAGAACTCCTTATTGCAAAAGAGTTCTGTCACAGAAGGTAGTTGATCGGGGTTGGAATGGTTTGATTATCTGACTTTATAAAAGAGGCAGGGTAACTGAAAGATCCTATAAAAAAATGTGTGATGACTTCCCAAAGTGACGTGAAAGTGGCTCAGCATTGGTGTGATGTAGCCTCACTGGTGCAGTGCTTGCACACTCATTAAGCTTTAATTTGCTCTTTGGCTGAAACATTGAAACATGAGAAGAAATAAAATCACATACTTGAAAAGATATTTAATTTGAAATGTTGGACTTGTATCTTTATTCATTCTTGATTATAACACATTTCAGCACTAATTCAATGTATTACCTAGGTTTAAGGATAGTTGCTGATTAAAAACGATATTCCAAAGCAGAGAGATCATGGAAGGTTTATAGGGTATCAATAGAAGCATTTTAAAATTTCTTCTTTATTCTTTAGATTCATAAATTAGTTTTCATATTTTAAAAATGTTTTTAATGACGTTAATGATTAAAACTTCATCATTTAGCATTATTATTCTTTGATATGACCAGAACTGGATTTAGGAAGATTTGGGTCCCTGGAATGGGGACGTTTTTGGTGTCCTACTCAGACCAAACTTTTTCTTCCTCTTTAGGTTACAGATCTATTTAAAATGCCAGGTTCTTTGCTGACGGAACAAGTATGTAGTCCTGTTTTGGGCTTTAAAAGAAACAAGAAAGTCTTTTCAAAACTGTTTATCAATTCCATGCAGAGAGAAACAATAATAGTTAGCCAATCAGTGCAAAGTGCAATCATTGGCTCAAGGTCTCCACCCAGCCTCCCTGTGTTTCAGTGCCCTTCTGCTGCGTGCTGCAAAAACACTCAGGTTTCTGACCCAATTTTTCTAGTGGCAATAAAAATGTCATTGTGCCTCTTCAATTATAAATGCACATCAATTATGGAAATGCTCAAGGTAGAAAGCCTAATTACAAGAAATTTCTTAAGATATTGCAGAATGATTCCTGATTTAATGCTGGGATTCTTTAGCAGAAAAAAAACAAGATCTGATGCAGTGGGCTCTGTTGTACTGAGTGCAGTATTAGCTTCTGAACAAAACACAGATATGTGTCATAAATCCATGCTGACTGTCTCCCATTCTGCTAAGCACCACACAGCTTCCTAGGATCCACACTGTGACATCCCTAGCAGTAATAAGCCCAAAAAAGCCCCCTTCTTAAGGATGTCCTTGTGTGAGTGTGTCTGACCTATTACTGTGAACTACACAATCTAATTAACCCAGAGTAATTCAATCACACTCAAGGTACAGGCGGTCATGCATTTGCACACTTGCTCACTGACATGCACACCGCTAGACTAATCTGGAAGCTGCAGATCTTGATAAAAAAAAAAAAAATTCTATTCAGTTTCAATTGCATCTCAAGTAAATATGCTTTTTTTTTTTAACAAAACTTATTTTGATTGTATGTAGCACAAAAAAACTGTATCATGAATGGGAAAAGGACTGTAATAGATCTCTATGAACAATAACATTCAGCCATTGATTTATTTTATTTTTTTGCTGTTTTGCTTTAAAATGAGGCATACGATACTCCAAATACTCCAAAATGACCCTGTGCAAATATTTTTTTTTTCTTAAACTTTTTATATTTGCACTGCAGACAAAGACAACTATTTTTTTAATTTATACCAGCAACTACTGTATTTACTGTAAAAACTGATAAATTTTTCCACTTTGGTTTTATAGGCTTTAAAATAAATCTCCATGTCAGAATAACTAAACCGAAAGACTGGAACTTTCATATCATCAGCATTTAACCGATAAAAAAACAACAGGAGAAAGGGATGCAGAAAAATGATGCAAAAAATGAGGAGAAAAAGTGGAAACAAGTACAATTTTGATGGAGAGCAGCTAGAGTATATCTGATTGACAAAAAAAAAGTTAGAATATGAACAGAGTGAAAATCTGTTCTTTTATTTTTTGTTTGGGGAATAATTACAGAGCTCCAGCTGAGATTTTATTACTCAGGATTCCTTAGAAACAAAATGCACTGAAAAGGATGAACTCATGAGAGCAGAATTTGAGATGTTATGTATTTTTGTATTCATTTCTTTTGTTTTATGAATCCTTAAACAACAAGGCTCTGGTGATAGAGCTAAAGTTTATAGTCACTCATCAATTTTTTTTTCTTTTCCTTTAGCATATCTCGCATGTCACCAAACACCTAAAGTTGAAAAAGTCACATCCATCAAAACAGACATTACTAGAGGCAAGGCATCAAACTGTAAATCAGTCTAACTCTGTCTTGGCTGTACTCACACACCGATGGGAGATAGACAACCTCAACGTCCACAAAGTGATGCAGGTACCGTAGCTTTCAGATCAGAGTTTGACTAAGCTAAAAAGAAGAGGTTTGATTCTCAGAATCCAGGGATGTGCATGAAGAAAAAGAGCGGCGATGCTGAAAAAAAACAGCTCCACGTTGGAGAGAGAGTGCCAGAGTGCAGTATTCAGAGTGTGCATGAATAAAAGTGTGTGTGTGTGTGGGAGGGGGGATGGGGGGCGGGGGTGGTTGGGGTATGCAGTATTTGTCTACTACAGAGAGGAAATGAGGGAAAAAATATTTTTTGTGCATTAAAATGAGTCCAGTGCAGCTCAGCTGCCAGAAACAACAGATGCTAACTCCCTATTCTTACTCCTCTGCTCTTTCCCAATCGCTCGTTCACTAGCGTGTTTATTTTGCTCCTCCCCCTCTATGGTTGCTCTATGGTTGCTCTAGGGCGGGGAGACTCACACACACACAGACATACGCACACACACACAGACAAACAGACACACACAGTGTTTCCTCAGGTCACTCATGCAGGAAGCTGACTTGGTGCCAGGCTCTCCTGCCCTACTTTGGCCTGGGGAATCGCTTGAACACCATCACACAGCCACAAAAAAAAAAAAAAAACCTTGACCAAGGATATTAAATACTGATTTTGAAAACTGAAAATAGAATCAAATCCAACAAATTTGAAAAGATACAGCCTTCATCATATGCACCCTTCATCATATGAGGCTTCTGACTTTTAAATTTCAATTTCAACATAGCCCATGACAATACCAGATATCAAATTTCACATGATCAGCAATTAACTCTGATTGTCAACATGCATCACCATGATGGAGCCTCGTCAGATTGAGAGCAACTGAGACACATGGAAAGGAGGGAGAAAACAAGACATTATGGAAAGAAAGAGTGATAGAGATGGGAAAAGTGAGGAGGAGGACACAGAGAAAAGGAGAAGAGGGAGGGGGTGGTGACAGAGACAAATGGCTCTGGTGCTCATGTTCCCTGCTTCCTACATCTACCTTTCCTCTCCTCTCCTCTCCCTTTTCCCAAGAGGAGCATTGTTTCTCTATTGAACAGCTGGCATTTTCTGCATTGTGTGCACCTTCAGCTCTATCAGGCAGGAAACCTCTAGAGATAGGCAAATCCTACATCAGGTTTATGAGCAATGCACCAATATTGCTGTTCTATGATGAT